ACACACTCTGTGAGCCAAATTCTCAAATTAAAGTGTAATTTAAAAAAAACAAAACAGCTTTTTCAGCACAGATGTTTGACATGAAGCATTTTTTTTCTTCCAAGTTTACAAACTCCCAAAATTAATTAAAGGGATTTAAACACAGAAATTTACAACAAGTTCCCTAAAAAATATATATAATATAACATTTTTTGCCCTGACTGCATTACACAGTGTGCGCGTGCATGTCAGAGCGTCTCTTACTGGGTAGCAGCTCTCTGTCTGCCGTCTCTGTACAGATGGGGTAAGGATAGAACAGGTGACCCTTCTCCAGAGGATATGGGATCATTCTGAAAGCTACAAACACACAAAAACACAAACAATTAATAATTAACAACGAGCTCCAGAATCATTCGTGTTCAGAAATAATCACCACTAAAATTTTAATACTGCCAGTTTACAGTATTTGTGTGTTAGCATGTACTTACTGCCCTCCCAGGTGCAGTGCAGAAGGTTGAGTGCCCCCTCCACCCTTTTCCAGTGCTGTAGGTGGAAGAAGGCGTAGGCAATGGCCTCGCTGTCGCCTCTTTTCAGAATGTGTTCTGGAGGAAGAATCAGACTCTTCATCTCAAGCAGGTACTGATGGGAACAAGGAGCAGGAGGAGAGAGGAACAAAGGAAGACAAGGAGAGAGAACAAAGAAGACATCTGAATGAGAAAGAAAATGAATTAAAAGTATCTCAGCATATCCATGAATAAAGTTCAATACTCACATTCAGCCCACAACAAAGTATGACACAGAGTTACATTATTACAATTCAATGCACCAAGTGTGAACACCAAGCTGTTTGACTGGGGCCAGCATACTTCCTGCTCCAACATCATTCTGAGACGGGGGTTGCTACTAGCTTGTGTTTGCTGTGTGTTTACAGCACTGGATCCTCATTTATGACCTGGGATCACTTTACATGCACATTTATTTATTTTTTTCCCCAGTTATAACATAACACAAGGAACAACGTTTTACATGGACTTGGTCGACGTCTTTTAAGTGAATGTATAAATTAAAGCTCTGGCAGTAGCAAAGAGATCACAGCACCCACCAGAAGTGCCTCATAGGTGAACTACATTTGGACAAACTGTCAGTAAAGGAAGTCAATCCTGGAAGAGAAGATATGCTCAACATATCCCACTTTAAGATTCATCCCACCAAGCTTAACTTCTCATTATGTATTGCTTGAATTTGGTTCTTGTGTGTTTTTATGTGAATGTTCTTTCGTTTTTTATGCTGAATGTTGTTTTGTGTGACTCACACAGGGGCTACACATGTAAATGAGCAGTTCTACTATGAGCTGGCATATTTACATCTTTCTTATCGACACATCTCTGTTTAACACAAACAATCTGCGTGCAAGTGTGTGTATGGTAATCTCAACTCACTTTGGGGACATGAGGATTGAACTCGACCGCTCTGTGGATGGCTTCTACTGCGTTCATCTCTGCTGTGCTCAGCCCTCTCCTGGATGCGGCCTCTGGAGAGAACCTGCACGTGCACGCAGACGGTCGTGATTCTACATCATGAGGTTACTTTGATCCATACCTCTCATGAATAGATATAGTAACAAGCAAGAACCAACATTTTACGAAGTGTTAAAAACAAACTAAATTTAAGCAGCTGCAGCATTTATTATACATGCCACACCCTGAACAATCAGACAGAAAACTCACTTCTCACAGTAACAGCGCTCAAACCTTGGGGTGTCTCACTCTTTCTACATCATCGCTATTCTCTCATTGATACTGAGCACCTCCCTGGAGCCATTTTCAACCCTATCTTAAACTAAATAGCAGTATAGGAATGTCAGATCCCTGAAGAACTGTATGTGATGAAAAGCAATACTCACTTGTCCGATACCGCCCTGGCTTTGAGCAAGGCTGCTGTGTAGCATATTGTTGCAGATTTAGGTAAGCTAATATCTGTGGAGGAGACAAAAAGACAGACAGAGACAGAAAGGACAGGGTGGAGTTTAATGAATGTGGTAAAAGTTTGGAATTACAGGTAACAGTTCGAGGGGAGGGCTGTATTTAAGAATACTGCAGATGCCCACAGGGGGTTGTGAATGAACTTAATGAGTTTGGGTTTCACGTGTGTTTTGTTATCATATCTTAGACTTTCTCTAAGTGTGATTTGCTCTCTTTTTCCAGTTGTGTCATATAAATATCTATAGACAGGAGTAAAAAAGTAGTTTCAGAACATGCTGGGCATCCTCAGATAACCCCATGCATACTTCCTGTGTGCGTCTGTGCTCTAACGAAGGCAGAAAAATGATCTTATAAACAACACCTGGCCAAATGCCTGTAGATGGTGTAACACCTGCTTTACAGAATACATCTTAACAGATGCAATTTTTACTTGCAAATAATAATTACATTTTCGCCTGTATGGATTCGGTCCTGCTGTATAAGATATGTGGTCAGAAATGGCCCCGCTCTGGCATTTTAGTTGTTAAAATAACTCGGGCTGCTTGAGGAACAACAAACACTCGACAGGGAATGTGGCGTCTGTACTCGGCTACCTTCAAGTAACTAAATACAGCTTTGTTAGTACAGTTACTGAGCTGCTCACAGGTGGCTGAGTGTCGCTCACCGTCATACTTGGCCAGAACGGCCTGGACGTCGGCGTAGTTCTGGAGCTCTAGTAGCGACTCCAGCAGGTTTTCGTGGATGTTGAACATACTGAGGAGAGGGAACTCCTTCATTAACTGGAAAACACACAACTGTTGTTACATGTAATACCAGACAGGGGGAGACACATGCACAATCAGCAGACATGAGCTTTGGGTCATCACTGTATTACCTCAAAATACTCTGTGACTGTTTATACTGAACCCATTCAGAAATGAATGCACAACACTGTGTGTGTTTCGGTTTGTGTGGGTTTTCTTCTGGCAGGTTGTGTACTTACATCTCTCATCATTTTAACTGCTTCTCTTGTTCGGCCGAGCTTTCTGGAGCACATGGCCAGCCTCCTCTTTATATACACCAACACATTGGTGTCTCTTCCTGCAAAAACAGAACTTAGCTCAATCAGATCACGCTCACCGTCCTTTTTATTAAAATGCAACAGAGGCTGAGATGGACCAGGACTACCATTCATACTGTCGCTTGATTATTACTGGCTTAGGAAAAGTGTTAAAGCATGGATTACACTCACTGTGCTGGGCTTCATATTGTGTACCATGATGTTGGAGCTGTTGGCTGCGGCGGTAGCAGCCCTCTCCAGCTTTTAGCGCCTGTTTAAATAACCGCTCAGCCTCCATGATGGTGGTGGCCTCCTCCTCTGCCAGCAAGATGTACGCTGTTGCACAGCTGTAGATGGGGATGAGAAGAAGTCAGGGAGTAATAACTAACCTGCTGCATAGCCTCTTATACACTCATTAATTCATTTACCGCCTCTCAGCGGGGTTCCTCGTTTGCCGACAAAGTGCAGCTTCTTTGAGACATAAAAATGCTCCTGAGCCTTGTGTGCTTGTCAGCAGCGTCTGACAGATCACTGATCAAAGAAGTTTTCCTCTGAGTCAACCTGCAGTCACGGCCTTGATACAAGCTGGGAGCAACATGTAGTGCTGACACAGTTCCTCTGCACTGTCTTGGTTGTCACAAATGCTCCTAAAAATAAACCTGAATTTCATGAAAAGAACTAAAGCTGCCTTCCTCTGAATGATGGAAGCACCCGGAAGGCCAGTCTGTGATGAGAAGCTTCAGATCCGCCCTTGACACCAACAAAACCTGCAGTTTACAGTTTTCCAATTTATTACAAACTGATGTGTGTGGACCTAAAAGCAACAGTAGTTTTTGGGACTTGGGGTCTGATTCATGTTTGTGAGCTACTTTTTTGGTAGAAGTTCATAGTATTAGTTTTGCAAAAGCATATTTGGTTGTACGGCATCTAGATGGGATTATGTAAATACTAAATATTAAAAGATACGATCAGCTCTCAGTTTTGATTTTCAGCTTCCTAACTGGAGTCAGCATAAAGCCATTATCAGTGATTACAAGTTAGAAAAATAAAAAATTTAAATGTATTTTTACCGACATTTCATGGTTTGAGCTCGCAGGCCATTGTGTGCACACCAACACTATTGCTACTCATAATCCTTCTACTTCCTCCCTGCAACTTCATCCTCTTCCCCAAACTGAAATTCAAATTAAAGGGTCACAATTCTGGGCGGTGATCCAGAATCCAACACAGATGCTTGACTGAAAGTGGTCACAGTGAAACTTCCAGGGAGAGATGTATAAATAGCAGCCGCGCTGGAAGCATCACAGTGGTGCCCCAAGACACACTGCTGAAGAGAAGACTGGCCAAACTCAAATCAGATGTAGTACTTATGGTCTGCTCATTTGTTATTATTTTTTATATAAAGGTTCCTTTGATTTCATCTGGTATGTGCACAACATATGTTTGGAACAACCATCAGAAAAGCACCAGTTAAATACAGCTGGTCAAATTGACCAAACTCAATTTGATGATAAGAGATTTAATTTGGAAAATTCTTTTGACTAAATTTCTAGCTCTGACAAATATAGGTAAAATATCAAAAAGCCTTCTGAAGGAATGAAACTGAATTTTACATTTCCAACAGAGCAGCAGAGCACTGCAGTGCTAAAGATACCCTTCCCCTGCTGCATTGTTGTTAAATGTATGTAATGTCTCTAACTGATTTCTTCTTTGTTGTGGTTGTATTTATTTAACACTGTCCACGGACATAAAATGAATTTCCAGAAGGATCATAAACTAAATCGAAAGAGAGCGGACCAACAGTCAAATCAGGGGAGATCGGGCTGTTGAGCCAATCCTGTTGTTGCAGTTGTAAAGTCAAGGTTAATGAGAGATTCAGTTTCATGATGCTGATTGTGGTAAAATGTAGGTTGCCGCTTTCTTTGCTAGACCGTATCCTGTTTTCAGTGCTCTGTGTGGATGAGATTAACATACTTATAATTTCTGGAATCAATACTGAGTTGTTAAAAAAATGTAATGTTCTTAAACTGTGTGCATCCACAGTAGAAATACAACTTGTGGAGAAAAAAAAACCCTTTTTGAGCGACTTATTAGATTTTACGAGTAATTCTACACATTCGTTTTGTTTTAGTCTTTATTTTCCCTCTTCTGTCTTGTATGATTTCATTTTATTTCTAGTGGTTTGCCTTTATCAGTCTATACTGTGTGCCATTCTTGTTTTGTTCTTTTTTAATGACTACTGATATACAGACCATGGCTCTCTCCAAATTCATTCAGACATGGATCTCAGAAAACTGCCTTAATATCTACCAAGAGGGCTGCAGAGTAGCTAGACTCTCTTTAGGATTATTAGAATTTGCTTTTATTAATACCTTCAACCCATGACATAATTTTAAACTCACTCTTCAAGCTCCAGAGCTTCATGTGCTGCAGAGATGCGAGCCTGTGGGTTCCTTTCTCTCCACGCCTTCTGCATGACTGCCACCACACAGAGAAACATATTAACATATTAATATGTCAAAGGGGTCACATTACGCCCTCCGCACTTAAATCAAATCACATGGTTATAAACACAGCATATGTATGAATGTGTGTTTGCTTACTGGCATCAGCAGGCCGGAGATGGTCTGAGTCACAGGTGAAGAAGGTTTGATGATCTTGTGCTGACAGGTTCATGTCATAATATGTCAGCGGCTCTCGACCTGTTACCCAAGTATACCTGGACACCAGCACAGACAGAACGACACGCTTTAATAATAAGCTACTGACTGGCACATTTTTGACAAAACACAGAAAATGAATGACGCGTCTCTGCTAAAGCTCAAACAGAAAACAATTCTGATTGGCGGGTTTACAGCTGAAGAGAAAAACTGGATAATTACAACATGAGGAATCAAAAAGTGGGGGATGACTCAACAGAAGGAACACAGGCAAAGACATCAAAAAGATAACAAAAGAAGAATGGCACATAATAAAGACAGACAAATCAGTAGGGGGAAAGACATAAAAATAAAATCACACAAAGGCACAAGAGAGAAAATAAAGACCAAAACAAATCTGATGACACTCAAGAGGCAGGAAAGTTGACACGAGAAAGACCTGAAAGACTGGAAAAGCAAACAAGAGAAGACACAGATGAGAAAGAACGATGGAAAAGTCAGAGGAAAACTGACTCCAAGTGAGCTGGACTTCAGATGCAGGTTGCTTTGCTGTTGTCACTCACCGGTTATATTCGGCTCCGCGGAATAAATTCAGTGGATTTCTCCATACTTTACATTCTGCAGAAGGGAGACACAAAGAGCACAACTGTAGTGATGAGCGTCAAGGGCAAAGTTGGCACTGAGCTTACTCGGCACACTTCAAAGGGTTCGCCTGCGCATTCTGCCATCTCTACCCTGCAGCTCCATGACTGGCACGTGGATCTATGTGAGAGCATGGCTGACAGAGGAAAGGCCTTCCAACTCCTCAGTGACCAAACAGGTTCCTGCACAAACCTACACTGCTGGCAAGCCTGTGTTTGAGCTGATGGCACTGAACACATCGATGTTGGTACAGGGCTTAACTATATGGGTTTTTATAATATGTATGCACCAATAAGATGTGTGGCTTACAGTGCGCTGATATCAAACATCAACATGACAAGTGCTGCTCAACCAACTAAAAGAGCTCTGCGTGAGCTGAGACGTCCCCTCACTGTGTCACTCAGGATTCAGTTTTGAGAGCAAAAGTTTCAAATGTGCAGTAATCCCTGGAAGCCTAAAGCTCAGACTGCAGACTGACTGCTTCTGCCTACTTTTGGATCTTTATGATGTCAAGATATGAGAGGAGATATCACTAACATGGTCATCTCAAGCACAAACGCTTAAAAAGTAAAGAGAAAATGTCTTCTTTCACATAGTGGATGACCTGCACCAAGGCCCAGCAGAAGATAAATACAGATTATTTTGAAGTTTGAGTTATGCAAAGCTGCTCTTGTAGAGTTTAAGAATAAAAAAAATTAAGCTGGAAATCAGAATAAGGAGCTCACTTAAATTATTTGATTGCCTTTTTTAAAGAAGATGCATAAAATATCCATGAAAACCCAACACACATCGCAAAACTCATATTCTATTACTAACGACTTAAACAGAGAAAATTATTTCTTATGTGTTTATTCACTGATTTTTGTACTAACTGAATAACAAACTGTCCTGCCTAAACAAACAAAAGCCTCTCACTGACAATAAAACCGAATTTCAAAGTCAAATTAGAAATAAATCAATACTACGCGCACAAAATTCACGCTTTGCCACATTCAATTCCAGAACCATGACTAATCAATCACGGGTCTTCACTGAAAACCCATCTGTGACAAAGACAAATATTAAGCTGCGACATCCATCTCTGAATTGAGCTGAGCGATTTTCACAGAGCAGATTATTAGCCAGCAAACGGAGGATTAGTACACTTGAGCACACATAATCCTATTTCACTCAAAGTTGTTTGGCTGAAAACAAAAGCGGCTGCATCACGTCTCCACAAAGAGTTCAATGACCGAACGCTCGAAAACACGCCGTTAAACTGACTGGGTGAGCTCATTTAACCAAACTGTCACTGCAACTCGTATTTGGTTCTGATTCTTTAATAGACAGAGGCTGTCTGGACTAAAGCAGGCTGGGACTCATGCTGCATTATGTATATGCTTATGTAGCATAAACGTTTTCCCTTATCACTGGCAAAGGAACCAAGGGAATTATTCAGCAGAGACATTTTCCTCTTTTGAAATGAAAGACTTCACAGACGAGCAAATATACATTCAACGGATTAACCAAGATCAAAGCATCACTAATGGAGAAGTCAAGATGCTCACACAGCTCACTCTGGCTGTGGAAGATGCTTCTTGACAAGCTTTAATTTCTTAGACTGCCTTGTACTGCTTACAGTTCTAACAGTACATTTATTTAAAGAATTGTATTTTTCCAGATCTTAATGCATCTACAAACAAATCCATTTTCTGCTGTTTTTCCAGGTTAGTGGAGCAGCAGTCTAAGCAGATGCATCCAGGCATCCCTCTCCTCCACCCCGCTCTTTCGGTGGGAGACCGAGTCACCTTTTTGCAATCTTTTTCTATAAGCAGATCAGAGCTCTTACCAGACACACTTTGCCGACTGGAGTCAGCCTCCCCATTACTGGCGTTTGAGTTACTGGGAGAGCTGCTGTCCACTCCTCCCAGCAGGGGGCGCAGGTGGCTCACAGACACCTGCTCTATGAAGGAGGTCCCATATTTTCTGAAATACCACCACTCGAAGATCTGAAAGAAAGAAAGACAGAAAGAAACTCATTCACTTAACTGCTCATTCAATGAAGATGATACATTCAAGTGTTCACATTTTTTGTGCATATTCTTCTTAAATTAGCACCACTTAAAATAATTCTCTCTTTAACCTGCTTAAAATGGGAGTAAATCTACTTTCAATGCCAGCCACACAATTTTTAATCAGAACAAAGTAAAGACAATTACTAGCTAGTAAAGCTGAGACCTCCAGCAGCTAGCTTAAATAGTCGCTATTCTCCATCTGTTTTAACACATCTTTATTACAGTAATCTGAGTGTGGGCTGATTAACACTGTATCAATGGGAGTCAAGCTTGTGCCACAGAGGCCCCGGGTATACTTCACCAATTACCACCTTAGGCTAAAGGAGAGGATCCAATCAGTGAAACCTGCTCTTTGATTGGATGGAATTTAGCAGACAAAACATGGAACTCAATAATAAAATAAATTTAAAAAAAATAACATCGATTGGAAAATTTAAATTTAACTTGAGTAGTGATTCTGTACACACAGTTGTGTTCCAGTGACTAACGACCAACTCAGTTTAGATCATTCAAAATAACTCAAACAAGTGCCTGAAGGCATTTCCATATGGTGAGATTTGCTTCTAGAAGGACTTTTAATATCTAAACGTGATTATTTTACGAGTTGTACAGACTGCCGACTGCTAAAGCTGATGTACTGTGGAGCCTCTGCTTGAAGGAGGAAATGACAAATTTTGATGGGGCTCCTACAGGAATCTTGGAAAACGAGCTAATTGGAACATCTCTCCCACTTACAGAGAAACAAACACTATTGCTTCGATGAAACCAACTGGCGTCCACATTTCTAAATAATTTCACAGAGCATGTGCAGAGCTCAACACCATTTCCAAGCAGCCTACGCACACTGGCCAATCGCCCGCAGGGGAAGAGAGAGTGAGTTAATTAAGAGAGGGGCTATTTTAAACTGCGCACCAACCACTGTTACACAGTTTGCCGTCTCTGTGAAGAACCTGAAAAAGAAATGAAATACTTGGAGCGTCTTTTGTTTAATGCACAGCAATAGAGAGTTCTATTCTTATCTTTTTCCACATCCCAAACAAAACAACCCAGCACGTGTTCTCGGTAATTTAAAAAGCACAAAAACATTCAGTGTGTTGCATTCTGATGCACCAGGCAGCAGAATAAACACTGATAGTGCAGGGAGATAATCTCATGGAGGACCAAATGAGGTTTGATATCCTTTCATTTCAGCTTTATATGACCTGTGAATGTGTGATTAAAGCCCTAACAAATTATATCCCAGGCTCAAAATCACCAGGGGGCCACCTCTGAAAATTAATTTTCTCCTTTTAACATGGAAGAGAATGTCAAGTAAAAGCACACAGTGATTAAGTTAGATTCATCAAGGATGTGATTTTTGCTTAAAAAAAAAAAAAGATCCATTTAACAGCCGGAGGTTTCAACACCATTTATATTTGATATTTGTATGCTTAAGTATAAACAGGGCAGCCAACTTAAACATTCACACTTTGCAAATAAAAATTACTGCTTTATTTATAATAAATTTAAACCAGTATCAGCTTCAACAATCAACAAATATAAAGAATGAAGCACATCTTACCAATATGAGTCCTGATATGAGGGAGGAAGTACCTGTCAGGGCCACGTAGAACTTGGGCGTCAGGGTGTTGAGAAACATGCTTACTACAAGGAAGACACAGAAAGAATAAAGACAGATTAAAAAAAGGCCTCCTCTACATCACAGGGGAGGTACTTTTGAAAACATATCTTTGAAATGTTGAATATTCATAAAAAATAGGTCATGTCTATAGAGAAGAAGAATAAAGACGGTAAAGACAGACATTAAAAAGACTCAGACATTTATGGTTCCAGCACATGTCATCCACATGCGGTGTTTGGCATTTCCCAGAGAACCCTGCTGCTCACACTTGAAATTACACAACACTATGAAACCCAGGTAGAGTTTAACTTCAGGGAAACGGAAACAAAACTGAGCTCAACTGACAGCCTTAACAGAAATACCATATTTTGAAGCATTTTGCAAAGCTTTGCCACGGAAATGTTATTTATAGCACAAAAATGGAACCCTGGATGATGTCTAAATAACTGTTAACAAGGTTAATATAGTAGAAACAGAGATCGATTTTCTCAGTGTGGTCATAAACTCTGGCTATAGATTCTTAAAGCCTACATTTTAGTCACACTGACAGAGCTGATTATAGGTTGAGATTCTAGCGAGAGTGCACTGCTGGAAGCAGTCCAAGTGGATTTATTTCAAAGTGAATAGTTATAAATTTTTTACAGATTAAAAATGCTGTACAGTTTACAAAGCTAAGCCTTTACAAATCAAATGACATTCCTCCATTTACTATAAAGAAACTGTCAGAGGTGCATACAGAAGCCTTCATTTATCCAATATTTATTTTTAGTGCCTGGGAAATGCCTCTACTCTGAATCGCTACATTTAAAAGCAAAAAATAAATAAAATCAATCAGTGTTTGCTCTTATTCCACTATCACACAGAGCCCTTCACACAGCGATGGCCTGAAACAACCTGAAATATTTTACTAAAATTTGCAGTTGAAGCATCTGTGGATACTCCAATTACTGTGATTAAATATGGGAAAGGGGAATGGCTAGAACCGCATGCACCATAGTTTTCTACTAGCAGCAGATTTGGAAGGAATCTTCAACTACCTTACCGAAAAGATCAGCAGCGTGACCTCTGTGCAACTTCAAATGCCTGATGATCTTCTCTGATTCTTTTAAATGTTTGACCAGAACACTGACTCGAGAAAGCAACGGAGAGCTGTCTGCAGAGCTCAGAAAGAAGCATCTACATTAAAATGGTAAAGGCTATTATGTTATTCTTACAAATATAAGGTTCATGGGACTGCAGTCAACCTCCTATGATGTGGAAATGGAAAGAAACCATCCAAAACCATTCAAGCTGAACTCCAAGGTCAACATACGTCATTTCTGATCACACCATCCATCACATTTTAAACTACACTTGGTCTCCACTACTGACAGAAAAGACACAAGAGCAAAATGCATGTTGACAAGCCCCAAAGTCCTTTGGACTGATGACACAAAACTGGAGCTTTTTGGCCACTCAGATCAGTTCTATGTTTACAGGTGGAAAAATGATGCTTTAAAAGAAAATAACACCTCACTGTTGAAAGGGCTGGGGCATCTGGCACAGTGAACCTGTGCAGGGCACAATGAACGGCCAAGGCTACCAAGGTGAAAAATACTGCAATGGGATAATGGTCCAAAACCAAAAAAGCTAACAGCACCCAAGAAAGGCTGAGAAATAAACACTGGACTATTCTTAAATGGCCCTCCACGAGCCGGGATCTGAGAATTGCAGTGTGGAGACACTGTCCCTCAAAAGAGCACTTGACAGTTACTCAGGAAGAGTGAGCCGTGTGAGCAAATGCAGACGAGTCATTGTGAAATACAGAGATCATTGTACTGGAGATCACTGTGGTCTGATTTGTGGAAGGGTATCAACAGCTTTGTCCATGTCTGTATATTTGGGGTGCACTGTATACAGTAAGTCATTTCAGATTCACTGTGTGTAGCACTAATTTTCAGACACAGTTTCGTTCACATAAATCCCTCAGTCAGTCCACAAACAAGTGTTAGCAGCCATCGAGCAAAACAACACACCCTGATTACGGTTTAACAAGACGATGGCCACACTGCATGAATCCTGATAGCCTCCAGTAATATTAGTTTGTTTTTAACTATAGTTAAAAACTATAGTTAAAAACGAACTAACAAAAACCAACTAAATTTTGTTCTTACTCTTACATCTACAAATCTTTTCTAGCCTCTTCTCTCATGAAATGACAGCTCAATGGGATAAGAAGGCTCGATTTAAAAAGAAAAAATTGAAGAAGAGAAACATTAGAAAGCAATATTTAATCATGTGTTTCGCCTGTATCTTACAGCACAGCTTTCCACCATCAAACTGACTGCACATAAAAACTAAACTAACCATTACAGCTGTACCATTTTAGGATTGGGCTCAAAGAAACAGTGTGTTTTGTGCTGCAGATTTCAGCTGAGCCACTCTTGATGCCTCTGCGCTCTGTCTGAAACTTTGCTTTTACTGGTGTTTGAATTGAAACTTCAAAATGACAACACAAATTTTGTTCTTTGAAAATAGATGTTGTCTCATGGGCAAATGGGAGGTCTCACAACTCCACTGAAACCATCTACCTTCAGTATAAACTTTTCTTTCTGGTGTGTTCTGTGTTAGCTTGTTAGTTTGCAGGTGCTGTCGAGTGTAACCGCAAAAATGGAACCAAATATAGAACCTAAAGGGAAAAGCAAGCTGAATTTTAAATTTTAAAGGGTTAGGATTGGTCAACGAAAAACCCTAAGAGTCCTCTGCCTTCTGTTTGCAATTTTGTTCTGAGAACGGTGTTACAGTACAAAAGCGACAGCTGGTATTGTGAACTGTGACATTTCTACTCACTCATAATCCTTAATTATTTTCACTGGGCCTTCGTTTAGCTCTTCAGGTCATCCACAGGCTAAAACAACCCTTTTAGCTCCAATCCCTTAATAAGCTACCTTGAATTTAAGGCAGCTTCCTTTTTATATGCTGCCCCTCACAAACAAAAGACAAACACGAGGTAGGAGGACCTCCATACTTCAGATGATCATATCAAGTTTCTACACAGACTGTCAGAAACTGAGCAATTACTGCAGACTGAAGCTTGGGCTCCTGGATCTTGGAGAATACTTGTACTGAACTCATTATTTCTGGCCATGTTTAATATGAGCTTCCACCATTGTAATGGTTTATATATGACAGCGCAGAGGAAAATAAAAAGGCAAATTTGAGCTGGATCATTGCAAAAATGAACTCAATGGAAAAAAAATATTGAACTATTTAAGGAAATAAGTGCTAACTGGGTGATGCTCACAAAATGGTAGCGAGTTAACACCCCTTAATTAAAAATCTAGCACCTTTAATTAAGGAGCAAAAAAGCCAGAGGCCTCGGCTATGTGTGAAAAAGGTTTTTTTGGTTAAAAATTAAATCCAAGAAAAGGAAACAGCACTAGCCTCAAGCCAACATTTCAGACATAAAATAATGATTCACTACGGAGTGGCTGAGGATTGTAGGTAAAGTCTTTCCACACAATCAGCTGCTGACTTGCTCTTTGTACAGCCACTCTGCATACTGAAGTTGATGATTAAACAACATAACAGAAGAATTTAAAAAAAAAAAAAATCATATCTCAATTATTCTGTTTGATTCTGCGATCATGGATACTCATAGAATTTGGAAAAATTGTGCACAACTTAAGAAAAGATTGTCATTTAATTATTTATTTCCACAAACTTGCATAATGATAAATGATAAATCACTCCCTGCCGCAGCCTGGCAGGGAGTGATCGTGGACTTTAGCTAAAACTAAAGGGAAATGGCAAAACCCGGGGACTTATTACAAAACAAAAATTATTTAAAGATTGATCACCATGTTGATTATCTGTAAATAGTTGATAGAAGTCAAGGCTGTAATTAAACACTGAATGGCAAATTTTCCAATACCATCCTGTTTTCTGGCGACAAAGCAGGACATCTCCCTCGTGCATTTGGTGTAAAGTTTAGAGATCTTATTAGCTGACGTAAACAATGCCATACTGGCAAGGTACTGTATTTTGGTTGGGTTGTCATGTTAATTTCCTGTGAATCACACGGAGGATAAGAAAGGCGGACAAAAGATTCAGAAACCCAGCCTCATTTGCACTCAGAAACACACACGTGCATAAATTAAGTGCAGCTGGACAGCTATTCATTGCAGTGAAGTGGAGGCTCTCATCCCAGCAGAGAAGCTCTTTCAGTTAGGTCTATGGAAAAACAGGCTTAGCAGCTGCTGTAAGTCTGCAGTGTCTGGTCTCTCAACCACTGCTGTCTGGCTGGAAAAGCACTCTTCATCCAGCCAATAAATCTAGCCATAACTAATATACAGTGTTAGTATATTCATAATCCAAATGTCACACATTCAAACTCCCAAAACAATTAAAGCTTGACATCAGAATACAACATTTATTTATCCCTGTTTTACATCATTCTGGATTTGGATTTATTGGCTGTCAGAAACGTGAAATGGTTTTTGTTACCGGTAACTAAAGGGTAGATCTATTTTTAGTTTGTACAAAAACTCCCCAACTTTTCATAAACAGTAAAAACATATATAGTTCATATCGTCTAAAGGGCTTTAAGTGGCCTAGAAAAGCATTATGTAAATGCTAGTATATTTTGATTTACCAAAGTCTAAAATGATGAGATCAGTGCATTTACAAGTAATCCTAAGTGTGCACTCTGTAAGGGAGCAGATAAGAGTCAGAGTCCACGACCACCTGCTGTTTAACCTTTTAGTTTGTGAGGGGCGGCGAATCACAAGAAGTTCATTTAAAGGGAAAGGTGCTGAAACAACTTATTTCAGACAGAGGATGACCTGAGGGTTATAGGAAGCTGCTGTAGTCAAGTCAAAGAACATAAAGCTGAGACAGAAAAGAGCTTTTACTCCTCAGAAAATGTAAGAGTTATTGTGACACTGATTTCAGCTAGCCAGACTCACATTGCCTCTGTTTTAACAGCTATTTAATTTGATATGCAGAACAAGGTTCTCTCATTTACATGGCTCTGCAACTAACT